AAATATTTAACAACAACTTTTATCTTTTAACATAGTGTTATCCTAAACTTTTAATCGGTAAGAACCAAGATTGTAACTTTTATATTGCTCACGTTACCTTATTTAGGTCAACCACTTAAGAAAGTCGGTTAAAATCAAGGTAGAAAATGTTTTAGTCAACCTCGATAACCTCGAAGGAAAATATGCTAAGTAGCTTGGTGCGCAGTCGCAATAGAATCTTATTCGAACTGCGCATGGCATTACGTTAGCCTAATTGACAGATTGACATTGATTTGATGGATGACGTGGTTGTTCCTCTAAAGGAACGTGACGAGTTAGCTCCTAGTAGTTGTGGTAATTGCTGTAACCAGTCAAGAGCAACAAGTAGGAGAACGTTGTTGGTATTGTACCGAAGTCATCAATAGTGGGAATAAAAAGAGAAGCAACCAAACAAAGAGTGTTGGAGTGATCAGCTAATTTCCCCAAAGGTCGCTTCAACAACAATCATTCATGCATGGTCTCAGGACCACCCGTCATTGACTTAAATATTAAACGCTTCAATCAGTAACAAAGCGGACAATAATCGCAATGGAAAGTTCTTGCTTGGAATCTTGGCACACCATGACAACCCCAATGCGGCCAGTAACTTTTGTACACCCCCAGGACAATTCAACATTCTTTTTAACAAAACTTTCCATAATATTGTCTATTGCGTCCATTTCATCGCACTATATTTGAGAATTCTCAGTGCATTTTTCATTTCACCCGTTGAAGACCACAGTTTAGGCAGTCGAAAGCTTGGGGCTTTTTTTAATATTTTTAGCCAGACAATGTTTTCTTTTTTTTAAATTTAACTAAATGGAAGTAAACTAACTATTTCTTCGCAACAAAGCGTAAGGGTAACAACGAGGAAGCAACCTTTGATTAATAGCATGTGGTTTATACCTAAATAAATACAGCACTTTGCATATGCTTTAAGGTCATTTATAAGTTTAGTGCAGAATAAATCTCTGGTTACTTGACTATTATTTCACGAGCGCGCGTTGGATATGAGATGGTAGATATATGCGCCTCGTTGGCTATGATCATCTCACATCCAACAAGCGCGAGTGGAATCATTGTTTTATGAAAAACTCCCAAATCTAGAAAACTAAAATAAAATAAAAACAAAAACGCCTCAAACATCGCGCATACTCTTATCATATTTGTAGAGCATGGTATAATCACTCGAACCCCATGATGGCTAAGCCGATGAAAACTCTCGAATGGCATTATCCAATGATCCAGTTTTTAATAAAGTCGAAATAGACCTATAACTTCAAGTCTACGTCATTTTCAAGCCCTTTCATCCCTTCCCCCAGTTTTTGTCGGGCATTTGACACTTTTTCTTGCGCCGGGGTAGGGCACTGCGCTCATCTTCGGTTGTTTATTTTGAAATTTCCTGATTGCCTTCGATACGAAACCGGATGCGAAAGGGTGATAGGTAATCAGAGGAGTCAAACATTTTTCATTTTAAAGAAACCCGAGCTCAACTCTCACTCCCAAATTAACAAAAATTTGCAATGTTCATGCTTCCTCGTGCGAATCAAGGATGCTGGACAGAAGCCCTTGCAAGGCAAGACGTCCATTTCTTAAGCACTTGGCTGCTGTTTTATTTCGCATTTAGAATGTCTAACAGAGACCAGATTCTGCGAATGCGCTAGGCGATTGCAAAGCTGTTAAAGCTGTCGGGTTGTCCAACATGGCTTTAAGTCCGGACGAAAGGAAATGCCTGCTCCGGAGTTAAACTGCTTCCAAAAGTCATATCAATAACTACAAGTATTAATAACATTGCTTCCTACCCTATCAACCAGGAAAATAGAATTTTGATCTTGCAGTCTCCCCGAAGCTCCACTGAGGGGATTTGCCAATATTCTAGCCCCACCGTGGGGCATTTGCAACGTTTTGTTTCAAGAAATTACAAGTGCCTCTTAAATAGCTGGTGGGAGGGGGTGAGGAGGGCTGGACTTGACGGAGCCATTATCCTGCCTGATGTCATACAGCCACTACTTAGCTTATGAGGCATATCAGTACTGTAACGAGACAAAAACAGCAGTCTGAAAAACAACAACAACAACATCACATCAAAACAGCAACTGCAACAATGATGCCATTTTCCGAGCAAGGCTAAAGGTGTTACTTAAAAAAAAAATAAAAATATGCGGAGCTTTCGGCTAAATGGAAAAGAAATAGAGAGAGAGTCAGTACAATAAAATCAATAAAAAATGCGATAACGGTGTGAAATAGCCACAATTATCATACTTTTGATCACTTTTGACAATCGTTTTTCTCGAAAGACAGCTCGACCGGTGTAATTTCTACGCGTTGTGAGCCGTTGCTGTGCAGAATAGGCCAATTCTAAAGTGACAAGAAACTTTTGCAATTGCTTTAAATGAAGACGGAATCAGTCTCAATGGGCATTGTCGCTGCACTTTGTCGTGGACATTCTCTCCAGGGGG